CTGAAGCCAAAGAAGTGATGGACTACCACGAAGCCCATCCAGACAGTGACGAAGAGTACACGCCTAGTATCGGAGGCAGGGCAGATGACAGAGAAGCGCAAGACGAAAGTGCATCGAAGAAGGCCCGAACAGATGACGGACCTGGTCGTGGAAGCAATGAGCCTATGGATGCAAATGATGCAGCAGAGGACAAGAAGCATGGATTAGAAGACAAAGAAGAGCAACCTCCCAAGCACTACAAGCACAGCGAGGAGACTACAGAAAGATCACCCAAGCGGCGAGAACTACATTCCCCAACATGGGCAGGAAACATCAACATGGTGGAAGAGAACGATGACGTGTACGTGGATGAGCAGATAGACCTCTTGGAGGCATGGACCTTTGACCTCGAACATCGCCCAGAACTCGAGGTGGAGATGGACACAGATGAGAAGTCATTTGGTGATCGAGCTGAACGTGATGGACCTCCTAATGTGAGTGAGGATGAACTCAATGAACTTGACAGGAGAGCAACGCTAGAAGAAATCAGCAGACTACAGCAACTTGAAGTTCTAGCAGTGGCAGGAGATGCAACACATGAAGAACCTCTTTTGTTGGACACCGCATGTGTTTTCGACTGGAGATTCAGAGGAATGTGGAAAAGAAGGATGAAAAGAAGATGCCGGATAGTTGCGCGAGAATACCGCACAGGCAACACAGATGAGAACCAATTCAGCCCAACACCAGCAGGCTTCACGATGAGATTGATTTTGGTTCTTGGAAAGCTTTTCAACCTATGTTTGTTTGTGGCAGACATCAAAGATGCTTTTCTTTCAGTCAAGCAGCGAGAACTGGTGGAAGTAATCGTCCCAAGCTGGGTAAGAGACCTAGCACAAGGAGAACAAGCAAACAGTCCCTTGTTGACGGCAGAACGCTGGAGATTACTCAAATGCTTACCAGGACAACGAAATGCAGCTTTGAGATGGAGTGAACACTCCAAGGAGTTGGTTGAGAAGATGAACTTCGAGAGCTACAAAGGAATGCCAACAGTATTCAAGCATTCCACGAGAAAGATGTTTTTGATGATCCATGTAGACGATGTTTTGGTGGCAAGTGGAATCGAAGACTGGACATGGTTCAGCAAGATGGTAAGAAAGCAACTGACCATGAATGCCGAAGGACCCTTTGAGTACGGCAGCAACAACACCTTCTACTACCTGAAGAAGAAAGTGGTCTTGGCAAGGCAGGGAATCTTTGTACAACCAAATCCTTCCTACATCAAGAAGATGGTAGAGCTACTTGAACTACATGGAAAGAAGACCAAGACACTACCACACCACAGCAACCTCGAAGTGTACGACAAGGACAATATCAAAGAGCGTGAACGACTCAATGCGGAGGACCAACGAATGTTCCGATCTGGTTTGGGGTTGGCGCTCTACATAGCACAAGATCGACCAGATATCCAACAATCTTTGAAAACTTTGTCGACCTACATGGCTGGAGGAACGAAGTTGGCATACACAGCTTTGAGACACCTTGGAAGCTATCTTCAAGGAACGCAAGATGCCGGAGTTTTGTTGACGCAACTCAAGCGATTTGGAGTGACAAGTGACCATTGGGATTTTCCTGAATGGAGCAACAGAGAAGACAGAAAGAACTACAACCTCGAAGTCTTCACAGATGCCAATTGGGCAGGATGCAAAGTAAGCAGAAAGTCAACAACATCATACATGGTTTTTCTGAACGGCAGCCTACTTGTTAGCTCATGCAAGCTACAATCCTCAATAGCACTTTCCAGTGCAGAATCAGAGCTTTACGCAAGCTGCAGTGGCATTGCAGAGATGCTACATGTTGGAAGCCTACTAAAGCTTCTAGTAGGAGCCAATGAAGTTCAGATGACAGCTTTCAGTGACAGTTCAGCAGCCCGAGGAATCACGCAACGAGCTGGACAGGGTAAACTGAAGCATATCCACATCCGCAACCTTTGGATCCAAGATCTTGTGAGAGAAAAGATAGTGAGATCGCTGAGAGTTCCCACAGCAATCAATCCAGCAGACTTGAACACAAAGAAGCTAGCACAAGAGAGACGCAAGAAATTGATGAGCCTCATTCCAATGGGAAATCAAAACGGTGTAGAGATTGAGACCATCGAGACAATCCCAAGAGAGGTGACCCAGAAGACTATTCAGAAGATCTTAAATTGATTTTAGCTGGAAGCACATGTTTCTTGCAAGGATGCACAGACCTGACATTGCAATCAGGTGAGATGACGGTGAACGACATCATCACGATCAGAAATTTGGTGATCCTAGCGCTGACGCTTGTGATCCTCTATATCTGACGAATGCGCTACGGGTACAACGACATCGACTACAGTTCACTGAGGAACTATATCGAGAACTATCCCGACGACTTCGCGACTACAGAGACAGCAGCTCTTCATCGACTTCAACGTCACAAGAGAGTGGACCTTTTGTTTCAGGACTGACAGAAGGCAGACCCCGCAGAACAAGGCAGAGAATGACGCCTGGAGAAGCAACGCGACTTGGAATACGACCCCCAAGAGCACCTGGACTACTTGCAGAACTAGGTGAACAATTGGTGGATCTACAAAGCATTTGGGCCAATGTGAACCGGATGAGGTATGAAGGAGGCCTAGCACAGATCTTTCCACTACCATTTAGAGGAAACAGTGGCGAGAGAACCTATGAGGCCACGATCCAAGAGCAGCAACAGCGAGAAGAAGCAGTTCCTGAAGAACCAGAAGAGCCTAGCCCAGAAGACACCTTGATGCAGCCAGGTACAGGCGCAAGATTCGATGTTTTCACACAGACTGGTCAAAGTCAGGGAGAAGGACATGGTGATACGGAAGAAGGAGATGGAGGACCTCGATGCCGAGTACACCATGAAGCATCACATGGAGCAGCAAATCCTGATGAAGAAGGACAACTACATCATGAAGAAGAACGACCACATCCCGGAGGAGATCGACCACATCACGGAGAAGATCGACCACATCCTGGAGGAGAAGTTCGACGAGTTCAACGACGACTACCAGATCCCCCTGATCTCGGACGAGGACGTCATGGACATGGAGGAGAAGATCATGACAGTGGACCAGAAGAGTTGACATGGTCAAGCAGTGAACAAGCAGACCATGACTGGGAGCAAGAAGGAGATCGCGTTGCAGAAAGAGAGCAAGCAAGGAGAAACCACATGGTGGACATTGAGAACATGCACTGGCAGATGCTGGAGCACTCTTCACAAAGGCTGGGACACATCCTAGCAGATGGAACAGAAGAGACTAACAACGAGGAACTGGAGAGAACTGTTCCTTCGAGACCAGAAGTTTTCAGCTGGTACAGAGAGCAACTACTGCTGATAGGAGAAGGAGTGGAAACGCACTTGACAATTGCAGCACGAGAACTTTCCCACTTCATCAACACGATCTTGGATGAAGCAATGAATCAACGAGGCAGAGTACTCAATGGTGACTATGAAGATTCCCTGAAGCACTTTGTCCGCAGGGTTTGGGGTGAAGGGCATCCAACCATAGGTTTTAATCTGGTAGAAACAAAATGGCGCCTGATCTGACGCCAATTGTAGTGGAAAAACTCCGCTACCAAAAAAATATTCCTCACCATTGGGACGGCGCTAGCATTCAATGCAGCCTCCATAAGTTTTTGCACACACATGCCAGAGGCTGCAGCACACCAGCAGACTTGAGCCAACAAAAAAACATTGTGGCCTTTTTCACCTGGTTTTCATCATTTGCGGTTGAAAAAAAATATATTCCATTGAGGGAAGGGAAACCAGTCGAGGGAAAGGAAAAAAAAACAAATCGCACCGCATCAGAGGGTTGGCAATCATATAGAACTTGTATGTGTTATGATACGCGAAAGAAATCATAGGGAACCTCATATTCGGAAGGTAGAAAAGTCAAAATGCCTTCCCACTCCAACAGCAAGTGTGATCAAAAACCACAATCTGAAGGCATTGAATGCCTATGTGCTTGGAGCGTGAAAAACTGTTCTGTCATTGACCTTTTACTGCTTCGAACAAACATTTAGAAATCACACATGCGCAAAGTTTCTTTCACGGCCGTTTGTGTTTCACAAGCAACACCCTCGCAACCAATTTTGTTGCTCGGTGAAGATGTTGCAGTTTTGCAACAGAGCGAGTTGCCCTCAGCAATTTCAATTGCCACTCCTCGTTCATCTAAGCACTTCGCACATCATACGATATTGGAGTGAACCATTTATGTGGTCTTAAGGGGTCCCATGGTCTGATTTGATGCCAACAAAGGAGAAACGCAATTACTATCTAAAACTTTGGTGCATTCCCACGCAGCCGTTCTGTCCCAACAAAATCAGAACTCACACAGAACGTTGCGCACACTCACACGCGCGTGTGGTGCCTCAACCTCAACTGACCTCTACATCATTCGTCACTTTCAAGACAGCTTCAAGAACGGCTGGCGTGAAACCAGCGCTTTACTCGCATCATACAGGGCACAGGCGCCTGCAGTCACTCTTTAGACCTGGGCATCACTGAAAAGGAGGCTTGGTCAGAAAGTGTCCACAAGCCAAGCTGAAAACTACACGGCGGTTTGTTAGCTCAATTGCCAAACTAAAGTTCCAACCCTCTCCAAGGAAGTAGTTGAAACACAAAGCATCTTGAAACAACATCAGTGCAAGACTTCTTCCACAACATGCGCTCGCAAACGCATGCATTGTCTCAAATGCCTGCTCGCATCTGAGTTTGACAGGCACTAGTCTGGGACACCGGCAAAGAAGGACCCAACACAGGTCTCACCCTCCTCAAAACATTCATTCGCAGCCACTTTGTGGCTTCCCAAAGCTCACAACATAACATGCTGAGCAGGAAGGATCTGAGTGCGATCCCCGAAAACTAGAGTAGAGTTGCAAAACCATTGCTTTAAGGCACTCCCCTCCCCCCACCATGTCATGCGACAAACGAGCTGCACTCAGCACTCATGCGTGACCAAAAAAAGCCCCTTACGAAGACTTGTCATCCTTGTTCATGGTGTCCAAGATGGCCTTCAAGACCTCTAACTCCTTGGCCATTTTGATGCGGTCTTCCCCATTGGTGGTAGTTCCCCGCAACCTGTCCATCTCTTCCATTCGCTTCGTAGCTGCCACCACTGCATTGCCATGAGAGCTCTCCTTGCAAATGAGCGGCACCCGAATTCCAAGAGTTGGCTGTGACACCAGCTCAGCTTGAAGAAAGCCATAGGGCGTGTACAAGAAATCGCCGGCCGAGACTGTACAGGTCCACAGCGAGCACTCCTTGGTGAATTCGGCCAGCATTGCAGGGTTCATTGCCTTGAAGAAACTTGTCATTTTTGCCGCAGGAATCGGGCCTGCGATCCCCTTCCTCTCCATGAAGCCACTGAGTTGCATCATCTCAGTGGCCACAACACACCGCGTGCCCTCCAAGCACAGCCGACCTGTGGCAAGTCCAAAAGATTCTGCGCTGACCTTGTCATACCCGGCGTCCACTCCAAAAAAGCTCGCAACCAGGGAGGGCTTGAGGCACTCAGGAGAGGTTGTCAGATCGGCAAGGGCTTTGACTGGCTCGAAGATCTGGTAGATGGCACCTGTCATCTCCTGAACGGATTTGTCGTCCGTGGCCTCCAAACGCAATGACACTCGAATGCCTTTTGCCTTTTTGCGGTCCTCATCAAAAGTCACTTTGAAACTGGCAGCCTGCTGCTGGGTCAGCTTGCCATCTTCCTTCAAAGTGGATACAACAGAGCTGCAATCCATCAAGAAAGGCTTTGAAGCGTTCACTTTCGCCCCAGCTGCAAGTTTCTCAACCTGAGTAGCCATTGAAGCACCTTGGTCGAAGATAGGAATACTTGGAGAAGCATTTGCCTTCTTCGCCTTGCTAGCCTTCTCCTGCTTTTTCTCTGCAGCTTTCTTCAGCTGCTCCACAGCCGTCTTCAAGGTCTTCTCGGCCTTCAAACCATTCCCGAGCAACTGAGTCATTGGAGCACGAAGCTTGGTGAGTTGCTCAGTGACCTCCTCACAAACACAGTGCTTGGCAGCGCGCGCAACAAGAGGTTGCAAAGCATGAAGGTGGATAGGCTTTGAGCTTTAAATTCAAAAATGATAGCGACACTGGCTTTCAACAAACCTGAAGGAACCGCGGCCCACAAAACAACACTTCTGACTCATGGAATCGAAGCCACGCGCACACCACATGAAGTCTTGCTTGCACAACCCTCCAAAAAGCATACCAAATCAGGGGGTTGCCCAGGCGAAACAATCTCTCTACCACAATGTGACACACGCAAAGAAAACTAAACACCGGTCCTTCACATGGGCAGGAAGAGTGCATTGGTGGTACCTCTCAGCAGTCTGCTCCAAAACGCAAAAGGGCTTGAGCTGAGAGTAGAGCTCACAAGGAGGCGCCCTCCCAAGTTCAACCTTGCTTTCATGGATCTCCGCGTCTTGTGGGATCTCAGCCTCTCCCCCATTGGCAGGCAAACTGCACGCACTGAACCTGGCAATGAACTCCTTCACCTTGTCCTCATCTTTCGATTCCTCAGGAACCAAGCAACAAGGCAATACCCCCAAGCCCCCAATAGTAAACAAAAGTTGAAGTCGTCCTCTCACACAACAAAGTCTTGGCCCTTACTTACTTTCTCTAGCCATGTGATTCCCAAATTGTAAGCTCTTTTTTTGTGAATATGTGAATCTGTTTGAAACCGAGAAGAAAGGGATTGCCCAAAAACAATCTGTTGCCGTTGCTCTCCACTAGACTAAGGCCAAGTCCAAGACAAGCTTGAGAGCCTCGACGCGAACCTCCAAGACCTTGAGCTCACCAGCGAAGTTTGTTAGGAAGTCAGCCTCCTTGTTGGCCTTGTGCTCCTCGAGCTTTGCCTTCAAATTGTCCAAACCTTGCTGAGCTTTCACCTTGAAGGCCTCGATCTGCAGCTTAGCTGAGCGAAGTGTTGCTGAAACCACACGGTCTCTCTCGACCCATGGCTTGGTCTTGTCTGGAGAGTTGTTGGGGGTTTGTGGCTCTGAGGTTTCTGTAGTGGTTTCTACTTCTGACGCCCCCGTCTTTCCCAAGAGCTCCGTCACATCCAGCAAAAAGTTGTCGTTGCCTTGGAAGGCCATCTCCCCATTCTTGAGCATGGCAGCGCATATGCTGCTCTGCTCAGACATAGTTTCGTGCTTTGTCCCGAGTTGGCCTTTTATGCGCTCAATGTCTGCAGCTTTTGGTTTCTTGACGGTTTCAACCTCGCCAACCAGCTCTTTTGATTGCATGTAAGAAGACCTCATCCGCATCTCATCGGCTGTGTGAACCCAAATTCGCAAGGCGCCATTCTCACCCAAAAAGTCATGGTAGACATTTGGGTCCTTCTCCCCAATCTTTTGCTCCCACTCTGTCCACTGAGCAGCAGCTTGGTCATCACTCTTCTTTCCACCACGAGTTGTTTGCGCAAACTCTATGTACAACTTCCTCCCCATCATCTCACCCACCTTGTCCCGAATGAAGCCAGACGCAGCCTCTGTGCGCTCTTGGTAGCGGGCAACGGACCAAGTTCCCCGCTTTTTGTTCTTGGCACCATCCATGGACTCCGGGCAAAGTTCCATGTAGGACTGAACCATGGCAAAGCAACCGTCATCATCTTCCCTCTGCTTCTTGACGAAAGCAACAGCTTCTTTACCTTGGCGATGAGCCAACTTGTTGATGTTGTCTAATGCCCTCTTGCATGGGTGACAGCCTGGAAAGTTTGGAGCACACTCAGCAGGTGGAATCTTCTGCTTGCAGCCCCTGCATTTTGGAGCAACAAGCCTTTGTTTGCGTACCTTTGCCGCAGGTGCGGGCATGTCTGTGGGACCTCCCTCACCAGCTCCAGCAGCTGGCCCTTTAGGGCGACCTCGCTTCTTTGGTCCATTCTCTTGCATTTGGGCCATCAACATTTGAACATCGGCATCAACTGAATCTGCATGTGATTCAACGTCCATCAGGACAAGTTGGGGCTAGCAATCTTTTCTTCGCAAGAAAACTCGGGTAGTGGAAAATTGCTGCAGCAAAGATAAGACGCTTGACGCTAGATTCTTTGATCACAAGTTCATCGCATATCACACAGTCTTGGCGCCCACACTGTGACCAGAAGTGATCAATGGCCTCACATAAGACAGAACTGACTGTTGGACAAAAATCACACGGCAAACATTTCTCCAATCCTCCCTCCAAGAGGTTCAAACATATCCATCTCTAATTTCCATATCAAGTAGAAAGGCGTTCTTGGTTTGATGTGAAAAATGGAATGCAAGCCCGCCTTCGACACAATGCGATCAACTCTTCAAGAAAGAATTGCATTCAACAAAAGATGTTTTCTGTCCATGGCCAATCCCCCTTGGCTGAAGCATTTCTATACACGTCTCTGAAATCTCTTGGCAGTAGGCAACCCCACACACAGACACAACAAGAGCAATCACAAGCTGCATCCTTCACTTTACTACCACAGCTCAAAAAGCTTGCGTACAACACTGCATAAACATGTTTCAAAACCTCACTCCAATGTGGTTGCCACTAAGGCTGCCAATCTGCGAAAGGCCAGCTCCCTTGCGCAGCTTACCCACACAAGAAAGACTTAGTGGCCTGTGGGCCGTGTGAAAGCAAGGCCCATGGCGATGAAGCTTCCAACTACACGGCAGTGCATAGCATTGCCAGCCATATGGGTTAGGCTGGTGCCATTGAGCTCACGCAAGAATGCATGGTTCCAAGGCGCATCTCCTCGGCACTCATCAATGAGATGGGGGACTGGGAACCCCATCATCAAAAGGGCCTCCTCTGGGATCCATGGGCGACAATGGTATTGGCTCCAAAGAAGGCTGCCACAAAGAAGGCTGGGAAGTTGGGCTTTGAGAGCTGGGCGCACTTCAGCATTTTGGGATAGATCTACAACTGCACATTGGCTCTTCGAAGCGCCTGCAGGCGGAGAAACGGCTTGCAAGGCCTCAGCATAGGCCAGAAGGCGCACCTTTGCCCCAGGTGTGAGAATTGAGGCTGGATCAACCGTCTTCTTCCCCACAGCAATACCCTTGCATCGGAGAAGCTCCTTGCGCAAGAACTCCTGAACCAAAGCCCTTTTGGCCACGAAGTAATCGTGTCCATCAAGCATGACTGGGTATTGGAAGGAGCCTAGAAAATCCCCAATTGTGAGCGCACCGTCCTTGACCAACTCGAGTCTCTCCTTGTTGATTGTCCATGAATAGTTCCTGCACCTTGTCATTGGCACTCCCACATCACAGCATCTGACCCTCACAACAGAGGTGTCCCATTTCGTCGGTGGAAAGGTTGCTTCAAAGGCTTGCCTGGTGGGGAAGCAGGAACTGCATTCCTGAACCACAAAATCTGGCGAACGTGATTCCGTTCGCACAAGCCAACACACTGTGGCCACACTGCTGGGATGAAGCCAGCGGCTCTTCGAACCTTGAGGGGAAAAGGCCACACAGCTGTTCCCACCAGCCTCCATGACCCAACCTCCTTCATTGCGCACCTCGTCTGGGTCAGGAAAGAAGGGACACGTCTTGCAATGTGTGTAGCAATACCCAAAGTTCTTGACCCTCCCAGCAGCAACCGCGGCCCGAGCTATTTGGCAAAGCTTTTGGAAGCACCTCTCACCATTGTCAGTAAAGATCTTGGCAGCCGCCTCCTTGCTGGAACAACCACGAGCTTCAACGGCGGCCCGTCGTCGAAGTACCTCCACCACATTGTGCATGCGGTTCACATCCTCCTTCGCGTATTGATCCAAGAGGTCTCCAAACATGTGCACAGGCGCGTCAACTGACTTCATGGCAACATTGCGCGCTGCCTCGTCTTTCTCATGCCCAGACCACAGAACCAGCTCACCATAGGTGGGCGAGAAGGCGCGGAACAACCTCGAAAGACAATGCTCCACAGTACCCAGGCCTGAGTAATGTGTGGTGAGCAAAATGGTTTTCCCCGGCCGTGGTGCTTTGGGCCACCAAACCTCATGAAGCTGCGAAGACAAATTCCAAGTGAAGTCCATCACATCGTCCATGGATTGGTGGACAGACTCTGGCCATTTCAAAGTCTCTGTAAGAGCCTCCTCTCGTTGCGCATCATCTTCAAGGTCCTGAGTTCCTCCTCTGCGAACGCGCTTGGGCGCGGGCTGCTCTAAACTCAATGGTGAAGCTCTCACTAGCGGCGGCCTGCCTTCCTCCATTGTCTCATCTATCAGGACAGGCCCAGCATCAAGAGCCATGAGTCAAACAAGAGCTTGGCACACACAAGGATCCAAGGCACGAAGCACTCCACTACAGCACTCCAGGCCCAAAACAGCTTTCAAAAACACAGTTGCAGAACACTCCAGTACAAAAGCACTGCGAAATGACATCGTTTGGTCAGTTCAGTGGTAGATTCGTCAAACTGCACACTGCTAAATGTAAAATTAGACTGAGAAAAGGGCGCATAGACCAATCGCGGCGCACACACCATCCTGCCATCCTGCCCGATAGAGGTTTGCTCAAAATCACCTCCCACACCGAACAATTTGCTCGCAGAAAAAGCGAACCAAAGTCAGAAGTTGAAGGAGTACGTAAAAACTGTCTGAGAAAAAAGGCAAGAATGGAAAGCACGGGAACAATGCGCAGGAAAAATGAGCGGATAATTTCAATGCCTTAAAACTCTGTCCAAAAAAGCCGCTGAGTGATTTGTGATTGTGAACCATTTTTGGGGCGTCGCGCACGTGTCGCGCAGCGTCGCGGGTCTCTGTCGCGCGCGTCG